AACATTATGGTAAGTCAAAGGAGTTATTTACCTTCACTCTATGGGTTCTTGTGCCCTCTTCCTTAAACAACTATCTAGTGAATGGAAAAAAATTATTCCTTCTATCAGATGGCCTGATTGGTGAGTTGCAGGAATCCTCAACTGGTGTGTAACATAATTTGGTTTTCTTTGACTGATCAGTGTCAGCATTTCTTAGCATTATTATAAGACAGTGATGAAATTTTGTAAGTCTTTTTATCTGGTGGTGAAAACAATGATAAGTCTTTGGCTAATAAAGAAAGCTATATTTTTCTAAATTTAATGGAAGATATATATTGTAACTGAAGACCTGGACTTACTGTTAAAATAAAACACATTCATAGCATAATCCTACACTAAGCCTGGTTTCTGTAAAGTATTTTACCAGCACATTTTTGGAACACTGAAACCTTATTTAATAGCAAAGCAAGTTTTGAAGAAGGTCTTTCCTGGACCAAAACTGAGTTTTGCTAGGATATGTGAAGCTGACATACAATAATCTGCATTGTAGCTTTGGAATCTTTGCACTTTTCTCTTACTCACTAAAAAATGAGATGGCTGCCCATTTCCAAGGTGGTACTTAATTTCAAGGAACAGCAAATGAATTAATGGAAAAGTAATGTAAGAATACATATTCCTCTTCAACCAAATTATCACTTTCATCTCATGAAGAGTAGAATTTTTCTTGCCATCCAGTCTGCTACAGAAATATACACTATTCAGACAAAGGATTTATCAATTCATAAAATCCAATATATTCTGAATTGAAGATGCTTGATTGACAATGTTCTCTGCAATTTCTCTTTTGATTTTGATAATATTAGTAAGAGGATCTAGGCTGAGTTAAGTATAATCACTGTTCTCTTTCTCAGTAAAAAAAGTCTTTCACAGTGCAAATCTTCTGCAACTCAATTTTTTTTTTTGTTCACATCAGTCAACATTTCCGTCATAAAAATGGTTTCATAAGATCTTTAGGACTATTATATTTACTTAATTCCCTGAAGCATTTTCTGGATGAAAATGTTTGCTGGTTTGCCGCTTTCTTTTTTTTTTTTTAATTTGCAAATAATAATCAGAGACATTTCATTTTAATTTGCTTTTATATTTCGGAATGTGAAAAGCAAAAGTGTATCATTCATTCCCAGGAATTTCTTTTTGGTTTAACTAATGGACAAGAATTCTTTAAAAGAATTTTGATCAGTCTCATTTAGTGGGAAGTGTAGTACATGTGGTGATCCAAAGGCAGGATGTATCCCAGATATCTATACCTAACTCATAAGGTAAGGACAAAGAAAGCTCATATTCTAAAAGTGAGGTGATTTTTTTGTGAACAAGCAAACAAGCAAGCAAGCAAGTTTATTGCTAATGCTATAATCAACAACTATTAAATGCCACAATATTGTTTAAAAGGAAAATTGTTGGAGTTTGACCAACAAAGAGTTTTTTAGACAGTCCAGATCTTCCTGCATCTAACAGTGTTTATGTCTGTTACTTTCTGTAGAATTAATTCTCTTCATGGTCCCAGTCAAAGGAAATCTTGAGCATAAGATAAAATTTGTTATATTACTAATATATTTTTAAATCATACAGATCTTTAGGAGCTTCATCAGACACAATTAAGACATGAAAATATAGACTTTTAGAGACAAACTGTATTTCTTGCTAAAGCTTTAAAGCATTACACACCTATGAATCATTTATCTTAAAGACCTACTGAATCATCCACTGTGTGAAATTTTGACTGGAGCAGGGAAATACATGTTTAGTAGAAAAGAAGATGGTGTTTTACAAAATGTATGCTCAAATGCTACCCAAGATAATTACACTTGCCTTGATTCTTGCATTCCATCAAGAGCATTTTTCTTTTTATAAATTTTTAAAACATTTTTCCTGTTTCAAGCATCAAAGATCCCCTTTATTTTTAAATTGTGGAATGAAGGCACAATCTTTCTCTGTGCTCTTCATCTAATCTTACATGGTGCTGGTTTCAATAAGCTTGTAACACATATTTTTCAGGTACTGGAGGAAAATCAAAAGGCTTACATGTTCATATATATAGATATATAATTAAAGATGAGAGGACAGGTAGTAAAATCCCTGTAATTTAGAACTGTATGAGATGATTTATATAATTAGATGTTGTTATTACAGCAAGTAACAACTGTGTAGAATTATTATAAATTATTATTTATCTGTGACTAGAACAGACTGAAATATTTTGCAATAAACATAAATAATGCTTCTATGAAAATAAAGAAGCACATCTCTTGGAAAATATTTCCAGTAAGGTAAATTTTGTAATATCTTTCCATAATGGGGATCTTGACTAGGCCTCCACACAGCTAAATAAGAGCAGTCACACAGAGGGCCTCAAGATTCTTGGAATGGCTGTTTCAGATCTGGAAATGTGTGTGTATATGTGTGTGTATATGTGTGTGTATATGTGTATATATATACACACATATGTGTATGTATATGTACATGTATTAATAAAATACACTATTTTTACTTTTACCCTTCTGTTGCCAGTTGTATATTTTGCTTCTTTCTATTTTACAGTTTTAATATGAAGAACTAGCTATGCTCTGATGTTAAGAGCTACATTCAAAAAATTGACAGTGTTCACTGATGCTGCTTTGGGTCCTGGTGTGTGTTCAGTACAGGGGATGGAGGGAGTGTTGCGCAGTTCCATTTGGATCTCAGTAAGAAAGATATAGAAGCAAATAGTGTAATAAGACATCTGATTCAGAAAGAGAAAATAATGCCAGAAACATAAACAGTGAGTAAATCTTACTTCCCTTCAGATGTTAGGCACCTTGAGTTCACACAGCATCAGACATCAGAGAGTCCAGATGGATCTTCCCATTGTGCACTGCTCAGATCCTGCCTATGAAAATATTCAATTTCCTTTCCATAGCTTCTTTTATATTGTGTAAGAAAACCATGTATCTTCTCCTGATAGACTGCTGTCCCATCTCATCTCATCTCATACCACTCATCAGTGCAGGCTGCTGTGTGGCTTCCAGGACATGGTCCTGCAGCAGCTCCTTGTGCAAAATAAGCCTTCTAAAAAAAGCCAATGTTTTTTAAGATACATATTTTTCAAACTGTCCTTCAAAGTGCAGAAATATTGTTGATACTTTTAAAATTTATTAGTAATTGTATATGCATGCTTGAAATTAGCAGTACTGACTTCCAGAATTATTTCATGTCTTCCTCCTGAATGTTCTGTATTTGTCATCAGAAAGATTTTATATCAGATGTCTTAGATGTACCAGATACATCTAATTATGACTCTATTTCATAGAGTTTTTGAGTGTTTCATGATTTTGAACAGCTGTGATAAAAATGGTAAGACAAATCAAAATTCAATGGCTATTTTACTAATAGAACAGCTTTATAAATTTGGCCAATATTGTGAAAATCTGCAATATTTAACAAGATATTTCCTTATCAAACCTGGATTTTCTCTGAAGTACACAGACATAAAAACCCTACACCATTATGGGAGTATTTTAGCACCTTATGAAAAAAAGGTGTTCAGAATTAATGGATCAACTCCTTCTGTTTGGGTATAGATATTTCAGCTGTACATATAACAGTTCTAGAATTCAAAGAAAGTTAAGTCATACTACCAAAAAGACAACTGCCCTGCCAGTGAATTAATAACACTTTAGCCAGAATTCTTTTCTTTCAGGTCCCATTTTTGTGCTCAAAGTTTTATGTGTCTGGATATTTCAATCAAAATACATTCAGATGTTGTTTATTTATTATAATTATTGATACAATAAGCATATTAAAAGAAAAATATTATATTCAAGGTGTTACAATGTAAAGGAAGCACCGGGACTTACACCACTTTCAGTCTAATTAGGCACCAGAGGTAAGACAAACATATGGAAAATACTCACTGGCTCGTGAACAGCCACAGAGATTGTCAAGGCAATGTTTGATTTACTGATCTCCAGCTTTTCTCACAAGCCAACACAGCAGAGGCTTTCATGAGGGCTCCTCCAGTGTAGATGCAGCTGGATGCAGAGCTGTAGTGGTAGCAGCCAGTCCCTCACTTTTGTCAATCTTATAAAAGACCGAAAACTATGGTCCTACAGCCACTGCCATATACTGTCACCACCAAATCGAGTCATTCAGTCTTCAGCTTATTCCCCCAGAGCTGGAGAGGCACATAAACAGCAGGAATAGCCTTGGTGTCTGTATTATTCTTCCTGTTGAGCTATACACAAGAAAAGGTTCAATGTAGAATATCATAGCCTGCCCTTAAGATTTAGGCCACAACACATCATACAGAATTTCCATGGAATTTTCTCTTTCAAATATTGCTCATGTGGTATCAAAGGAAACATTTGCTCAACTTGTTGAGATAACGAGCATAAGTGGAAAGTTCTCTTCCAAATATCTCTCTGGATTCATAACACATGTCAATAAAAGTAACTCTTCTGTAATTTATTAATTCATACCAGTGGAAGATTTGCTGCTAAATTATTTTCTTAAGCTTTCTCAATTCACATAAATATGAATTTATCTAAACCACACATCTGCAGAGGAAATGAGTAAAGAGAAATTATAGATATTTGGGGAAGGGGGTGGGGGAGAAGAAGCATTCCAGTGATGCCTTAAATTTTAGCTTTCATGTTTCTCAGATTCTGTGCTGCCTAGAGGCGTAGATTAAGTCTTAGTAGATTCTCTTCACAGGGTAGGTGGACAAACCAATCCTTTTCCAGCTTGAGACCAAGGACAACTGTTAGAAGGTTCAGGCCCAAAAAGGATAAATAACAGGGAACTGAAGAGAGCAAACAAGGAGCGTGGGACTTCATAACCTGAAGCTATAATTTGACCATTAACTCCAATATGCAAATAGACCAAAGCTTATAAAAGTGCGAGACCTCGTGGCCAGTCATCCATTTTATGACCATTTTGGGTCCCTCTTGGGTATAGTCTTGGCCATGCCCTCGTACTGCCCAAGATGTATCCTTTAAAGCCTTTTAATAAATAACCACTTTATTCTTTTAGCTCTGTCTAGTGTCTGTTCTAGGTCAGCCTCTAAAGGCATCACCAGTTTTCCAGAGTTTCCTGAAACATAGATATTTCTAAAAATTGAAAATAGAGACACCCATTCAAGTCTGCCTAGATTTTGTTAGATTTAGAACTAGCTGGATTCAAGAGTAGTTTTTACATTAAATTTGTAAGAAACTGGTTATTTTTAACTTGTAACTGCAGTGACCTTTGCAGGGATTTCTGAATGGTTTAATTACCACTGGAAGTAATGTTCAGCTAGAACATACTCCCCAAGGCAAATTTCTCCACTGCAGTAGTGGAGGGACAAACTGAGTGTTTCATGGACATTTGTTCAATTGCCCATACGGCCACAGCCAGGTCAAAGGCCAGAACATACAGGGACCTGAATTCCCATATTTCTTCTCCAAATGGGAATAGTTAGAAATGTTCAATAATCTGGGAGGTAGCAACCAGGAGTTGAATTATGGCAAGGATGTACTTGCTTATTTTAAATTAAGTGGGACCTATTATAGTACTTGTGTTCATCCCTTAGAAAGCTTTTTCTTTTAATAGCAATGTATTCACCTCAGATAAAAGAGGTCAGTTCACCTGGGAGACTTTCAGTAGAAATGTTCCTTTGTGTTTCCTCAACAACACTACAAAAACTGGAGGAGTAGGGTAACTGTTTTCAAATGTTTGCTTGTCTGGTGTCCCATTGCTGTAAGGCTTCCAGACTCAAGTCAGGGAGACTCAAAAAAGCTATCTGAAAGATAATCAGAATTTTTACAAGGATAACCTGAGGATATAAGAATTTGAGCTGTGATCTGGACAGAAAAATATGAATACAGCCAGGGACATGAAGCAGGAAGGTAGGATATCTCATCCAGAATAAATTTTTACTCTTTCAAAGGTTTATTGTTACCCTGTTTAAGTTCCAAAGCTCTTGTTTCAAATTCCACTTTCCTAAATGCAGGAACTGAACAGTTTCTAAAAGATGGTAGAGATTTAAAATACCATCAATACATTCAAAGGAGTGAACCATTAAAATTAGTGTTTGGAGGCCAGTTCTCATGATTCTGTTCATCTACAAATTGAAAAACAGCAGTTTTTCTTTGAAGTCCTGTTTTCATATCATCACAGGGTAACAAAATATAAAGCCACTCAAACACAAAGCAAAATTGTGCACTGACAGTCAAATTACTTAATCTTGAAGAAGGGTAAGTACTTGCAAGTAATTGTGCAGGATTTACAGGATCTGGTGTCTGATTAACTATTGACCAGACCTATATTTCATCAAATAGAAGAAAATCAATTATATTTTTATTAATATCAATGAATGATTAATCACCTCTGAACACATGGTTTGTCAATACTGTTCTTTCCCAAATAAATCTCTCAATACCCAAACTTCTTCCCATCCACATTTTTTGACAACAGGCATCTTAATCAGAAATTTGTTGTCCGGAAGAAAACTTCATATACCACAGACAGCAGCTAATTTAATTATATTAGATGTGGGAGCCTTGTGGCTGTCTGTACTTTAAATAATATCACTCCAAAAACCCATCAGTATCTAATAAATTTCAGAGGTAACCTGAAAACTGTTTTACAAACTGGTACAATTTATTAATTCAAATATATCTTAACATAGCTTTTGAAGAGATGATAGCAAAGCATATTTTCATCAGCTTTAACTTAAGTTAGACAGATTTCAACTTTTCATTATTATTTTAAGGCAAAAGTACTTACAAGTGTAGTCTTTGTATCTGGCACCATAGATGCACTGCTAATTGACAAAGCAGGTCCCTTAGATTACAGGGGCATTATTCTGCTCCCTGTCCCAGTCTTCCAGCTCAGGGTACCCAAAACCAACTGGTCTTGCTATTAAAGCCTGAGAAAAAGAAGCTACTATGTACCTCAGTCTTTTTGTGTCATTCTGGAAGTTCAGGGTAGCAATTCTGCTGGCTTCCCTCTTTACTTCTCATGAATCAAAAATTATCAAGACAGCCTCTAACCATCACATCGCTCACTAGTCCTTCTCTGTCCACACACAGGTCCAGTGGCACATCTGCCCTAGTTTGCTAACTCACCAGCTGTATCAGGAAGTTATTTTCTACACACCCCTCAATTCCTCCTACACTGACTCCTCTCTGCTGTGATGTATTTCCAGCAGACATCTGGTAAGTTGAAGTCCTCCATGAGGACTTCATGAGACTTCTCCCAGCTTGAAGAATATTTCTGCTGTCTTTTTATCTTGGCTGGGTGGTCTATGACATGCTCCCACCAGGATGTCTGCCTTGTCAGCCTTCCCCTTGATTCTTACCCCTAAACACTTGATTTTCATCACCATCATTAAGGTCTAGACACTCAAACTCCTCCCCAATATACAGGGCTACCCCACTGCCTGTCCTTCCTTGCTGGTACCTTCTGAAGGATTTATAGCCATCCACTGTGGCATTCCAGTTGTGGGAGTCATTCCACCATGTTTCCACGATGACAATTCATGACAGTTTCTTGCTGTCCAGTGTCTTCCAGCTCCTCCTGTTTTTTGCCCATGTCTGTGTGCATTGATGTTCGTGCCAAGGAGTTGGAGGTCAGAAAATGCTCAGTATTTCTTGTCTTTGTAGTGACAAAACTATTTGCTACATTTTTATGACTTGCTTGTAAGATTTTATATGGTTGTCTTAACATGCAGAAGATTCATTTTTTCAGATGGTTTTTATTGACAGTAGTTAAAAATTTGGCTAGGTGTTTAAAGCAGCAGATAGGGTACTTCACTTCAAAAAGTGGAAGCTGATATAGTAAAATGAACTGGGCAGTGTGCAAATCTAAATTTCCAAAGAAATTAAGAAAATCAGGTATTTATCTCTACTATGTTAGTATCTGACCACAGTTAAGAGTTAATATTGATGCTTTTTAATCATATGTGAAGGGGAATTTTGAGGCAGAACTATAATCTCTGTGAAATATTGAGTGGCCTCCATTTGAAGTGCAGTGAGAGTTATTGTCAGAACTGATTGTCTGAGAATTCATTGGAGATTTCATGGAAATTTATCGCTAACTTTAATAATAGGATAACTTAAAATTGGTCTAGAAGTGATCTAGTCTTCTCACTGTCACCAAACAGGATTGCTGTGGATCATGTATCTTCTTGACAGAAACTTGTCCAGTCAGGTCTCAGGTCTCCTACTTACAGGGATCACAAGACATTCTAGACAAATTATTCTTGTGTTGAACATTTTTACTCATATGAAGAGAGTTCACATTTAAATTCATTGTTTCTCAGAGGGATTAGATGTACACATAGTCTGTAGAAGGCTATACCACTGGAAGTTATGCATATTACTTTGCAGAATGTAGCTCTAGATAAATATCCTCCAAACTGTCCAGAAAAGGTTGTAATCTGAGTTTGAGGCTGTAGCTCTTCATCATCTTCTGGATCATTTCCTGCAGTAAAACAGCACGAAAATCTCTCATAAAAAAGATTATTTATTTCTTACAGAATATGATTTTTAACCTGTGGACCTAAATACATAATGCTTGAATAATCTTGGGGGAAAAAAAGACACAAAATGTTGAGTTAATGGAAAAATGTAGTGTTTACGATTTTTAAACAAATCTTTCTCCCAGAACATTTTTAGGTTAGGAACCAGTTCAAAGTCATTTTGAATATCTGACTATCTAAATGGTACAAAGATTATTTTTTTCCTTTAAAATTTATTCTTCATATTTTCTTTCTAAATCAAATATTTGTATGGTATCCATTCTTTTAGATTACGAAAAATACTTTCATACAACTGCCAAAATCCTGATAGCTCCTCTCTTGAACAGATGTAGTAATTACTAGAAATTTCCTGAGAGAGTCAATTCTCCAGAGATTTCCTATGTATTTGCCAATTTGTATGGATAGTTGGATAGGCAGCCAAATTTTTGTGATGTTTATCTGAAGCATGTCAGCGAGCCTGTTGTGGTTCATCCATTGCTAATGAGAGAAATAAATTTACACAGATGTATGCATACTGTTGAGAATATTATTGGTAAAATCTGTAGTGCTCAAAAGGCAGGGTCCATTTTGTCATTAATTTCAATGGGACCATTGTACAAAAGCACTGCATAAAGCTGGCTATTCAAAAAGAAGCTACAGACTGCTGCCTATACTAGAATTCCACAATCCTGAAGGAAAATAAAGCATATAAGAGGAACACAGCAGTGACTTCTTTTCAAATTCTCTATTATCTTACACATTGCAAAGTTTTATATAAAATGTATATTTGACAGCTGCAAAGAAATTCTGTTCTACTTAAATAATGTCAATTACAGGTATAAAAAACACTAAGATCTGAAGGTACGAAGTAATAAATTATAAATAGCCAGCTTTTTTTTTTTATCTTCTCACATATCTTCTCACATTACTAGTTTTTTGTAATTTGTCATAAAGCTACAAGCCCCTTTGACATTTTGTTCCACTTGTCCTTATTTAACTTCCAGTTGTTAATTATAAAATCAGCTGCTCTCCAGGTTTTCCTAAACATCCCAAAATTTTGTCTTTAGCAATTTAGCTGTTTCAGTAGCTTGGCCTTGGAGAATTTTTTGGTCCTATTTTTGATCATATAAATTTATATTCACTGTATATTTATACAGCCTATTCTCATTATACTCTTTCTTCATCTTCAAGCGTCTTCCTCCCAACCAGCTTGATTCCACTAGTCCAACTACTGCATGCCTTTGCAATGCCCTTCCATGTGAGATCACGAACAGTGGATTGGCTGTGTTTTCCAGTCAGAATTAAAACCCCATTTGTTCAGCTTGACTTATGCTTAGTGACAGCTCTGTGTATTTCTCACTGTGATGTGAATACATGAAGGACACAGTATAAAGATTTGCACTAAATTGTATTGGGTTGTGTGGAAAATGTGGAAAAAGTGATTGGAGTAATTACCAGTGCCCAAGTTTTTATCCTTGTTTTCATTAAAGTTGCTATTATGTCAACGACAGAGACAAATAATACAGTTATTTTATTAGTATCTGTTTTGTCTAAAATGTGAATGACAAAAAAAAAAAAAAAAGGATCAAGGAGACAGCAAAAATGTAATGTAAAAATGACAAAAGCACTTCTTAACAGGGCAGGTATATATGTCACAAATGAAGTAAGACCAAATATATTGTGGTAATTATTCTTACTTAGGTAAGTTCAGTTCATGATATAAAAAGTGGGAGGCGCTTACAAAAATACATAATCAGACAAAATAATCATTATATTGTGTCATTCTCTCTGCAGAACACTATGTTCATGGTCTAGAGTACTTTGGAGCATATTACACTGCATGGGCTGACTTGACTGAAACACTGCACATATATGTAGGATTATTTTCTATTTTTATGGTGTTTGCAGAAACTTTAAGTTGAAAAAACCTGTCTGAACAAGTTCCAGGCAAAATATGGGTTTTCTTAGACTGTATATCACAGTTACAATTATTACTATAACTAAAATAAGTTACAATTATTACTATTTACTTTTAGTTGCTAATTTTTTTAGTGTTGTTAACATTTTTTTCACAATCACATTTCACTGGTGCAGCATGATCCTGAGCCTACTACTTGTGTTTCTGGAGAAACTATAACATTACAGCCTGCTTTTAATTGTCCATAGTCCTTCTCCAGCTATTGGGTAAATATAAAAGTTTGGACTACACTTTCAACTACGGACTCATTATTCCAGTCTGGGAACATGCTGTTCTTTTATGGGGTATGCAACTGTATTTCATAATCATTCACAGATCACAAAGCTTCATCAAATGCCCTATCTACAGATAGGCTTTGTAGAGTAATCACTTTGCTATATATTAATGTATCTATTTCAGCATTGTCTACACGTGCTCTTTGAAAAATCGATAATTTCTGAAGGGGTTCATTTTATTACATGGAAGTCATTCAAGAGTTTTTTCCAATTCAACAATGTAACTTTACATGCATTCTTTTAGATTTTTCCAAATTGAAGATAATCTGAAATTTAAATTATTTTAACTGTTCTAGCTCTATGGAAGTGAGTGGAGCTAGGCTAATTTTCACCGGTTCAGAATAAGATGAAATATCTATGGTTTCATTCACTAAATCATCAAGACATGCTGATTTTGCAGGGTGATTAAAATTAGAAGTTGATACATTTTTAAAAGAAAGGAAGATAAATTATTCAAACTTTGAAATCAGTACTTTGCTTTGAAACAACTCAGCAAGGAACAACTTCTGCAAGAAATCACCAAGAGGAATTCTTATAACAAAAATTTATTTTCCAACATGCAGTAAAGAATCAATATTTAAAGTCTACTCTTTGTAAATGTCATTGTGTAATGAACATGACAATAATTAGTCCCATGGAATGCCCTTCACACTGAATGGCAGATAAGAGAGTCATAGCACAAAACAATAATACTGTGAAAATAGTCAATTTTTTATGTAAGTAGAAGTAATGCTGTCAGAAATGTCATTAGAACACTGTAGTCTGTGTCATATTTGGGAAAAACTGTTTCTTAGATGACTATCACAGCACAATTGATTCAGTATTCAAAATCAATTTTAAAATAATTTTTATATTAAGCATTGGTCATACAGAACTGCAAAACATTGACAGTGAAGTGTCATAACAGTCAGAATTTACTATCTTATGCTCCCAGTATTATAAAAATTGAAGCTATTTAAATTGTAAATTATCTATAATATTTTTCTACTAGTTCTTTTTTTTTCAATGAGAACACAGACTCATGAAAATAAGCTAAAAATAAGTTTGTCATTTCATTTTATAGGAAATGCATAAAAACCCCCCAGCACAATTCTCAGAAATAATGACCGATGTAGAACAATATTTTAAATATTACTAAAGTATACTAGAAGAAAATAAAACAGTAAATTCTTTATAAACATAACAATGAGTACTTTGAATATTGAGATCCATAAAATTTAATTCCTTGAGCCTCTGGGAATTTCACGGACTCACATGTATCTAACTCACATTTTAAAACTTCCCTTAACTTTAAATCTGTAAGTGAAGGTTTCTTACAATTTCTAAATCATTTAGATGTGTTTGAAAATATTACTTCTGGCTAAAGAAATTCCTGGAGTCATTTCATTACAACGATTCGTTCTTTGACTGCTTCTTTTTTATAATGTGTAACAAAAGAGCAGAGAGAAGATGTAGGTCTCCAAGTTAATTTCAAAGTTAAAAGGTAGATTTTCCATTTCTTATCAGCTGGACATAAAAGTTTCTGCTGATCTTTGACAATGTGAATCTTTGAAGTATATTGGCTATTATTTTCTTCATTCACAGGAAAAACTGAAAAGTACATTAACTGGCTCTTTCATTTTCAATATGTGATTCCAAGTGCAGAACTCAGTCTTATAAAGATCTGTAGTTGCTGATAAGAATTAACAGTGTGAAAGATACGCTTGGCCTGTAGTTATGCAGCTTTTTATATCTCATGTAAGATACAGACAAGAATACACAATGTTCAGTCAAGTATTTTATTGCTAGGCTGAAAAGCTGTTACATTAGTATGGAAGGTAAATGATAAGATTCAGACCTTTGAGGTGAACAGAGGAAAAGGATGAATCAAAACAAACAGCAGGCTGCGCATCTCTTCTAACCAAAGGGAAAAAAGCCACATCTCTATTAATCCAAATACAATGTAGACTGATAAACATATAATCTCAGCGGACATGGTATAACCTTTCTTTTAGAGCTAAGGAAGCAGAGGAGGGAAGAAAAGAACAATAGCATAGATTATGCACTGGTTATAATTTTTAGATATACATAGCTGAAGTTAAGAAGAGAAGTGCATAAAAGCTATTCCGTCTTTTGTGGCAGACATTTCCTTTGCTGATTTCCACAAGGGAACCTTGTAATATCTGAAACTCCAAATCCTACTCCAGAAATTGAACTCACTAGAGCGTAGAGGATTAAGGACTGAAGTGTGATCACCAGAAAGAAGGTCTGAAAGAAGACTTAGGAGAAAGAAAAAATGACAAAATCAATTGGTTGATGCTTAAAACATAATTAGTTGATTCCTCTGTCCTTTTTCCAGAAAATAAAAACAACATCTACTCTGTCCAAAAATTGTAAAACTTTTCTTTAATGTCTCAATTCCTTGACTGTTAAAATTTATTTGATTTCCCACTGATCTGCATGCATACCAAATTCATATGATAGTTAAGCATAGAGGAAACTCTTCATAGGCCAGCACACATGGGCATGTATAGAGTCCAGCTCCCAGCTCCTTTACCAGGCAGTGCTTCTACAATGAGTTGGGCTAAACACACACTCACCACTATGGTGAAAACCTTAATTTTGTATAATTTCCTACTCTCTGAAAGGCTGTGCCATCAGAAAGGAAACGCAGTGCAATTCCTGCAGTTGAACAATTGAAACAAAAGAAAGAGGAGGCTCATATATATAT